ATAAAATAATAAATCAAGCCTTCTGAAACATGGAGTCAGATCCTCCTCTCTTCCCTCATCCTGAGACCCCTGTGAACACTCAGCAGGGGTGTGGCTCTGTTGTGCCGCCCCCTCTCTGGGTGGCAGTCCCCCACACTGATGGCATTTTGGCACACAGCCAGGTGACCTCCATCATTGCTGGCGTGGTTGGGGCTCTGCTGGTCATCGTCCTGCTCCTCATCACCGTCATCTGCGTCAAGCGCCGGCGGCAGCAGGAGCGCAAGCACGCCATGCGGAGGCTGCTGCAGGAGACCGAGGTGGGGACGTCCCGGGGGGCAGGAGGGGACCCTCGGGGCTTGGGAGGGATGAGGAGCCAGGCCTTCCTCACCCCTCCATGCCCCACAGCTGGTGGAGCCACTGACGCCCAGCGGGGCCCTCCCCAACCAAGCCCAGATGAGGATCCTCAAGGAGACGGAGCTGAAGAAAGTGAAAGTTTTGGGTTCTGGTGCTTTTGGCACCGTCTATAAGGTGAGGAGTGGGGACAGCACAGCTGCACCTGGCCCTCCCTGCTCTGCATCCCCTCACCTGCTTGTCCCCACCTCAGGGCATCTGGATCCCTGATGGGGAGAGCGTGAAGATCCCCGTGGCCATCAAAGTCTTGCGGGAGAACACATCGCCCAAAGCCAACAAGGAGATCCTGGATGTGAGTGTGGTCACAACACTGAGGGGAACAGGGCTGGCAGCAGCCCCTGACCCCCACCCTGACCCCCCTGCTGCCCACAGGAGGCCTATGTGATGGCAGGGGTGGGCAGCCCCTACGTGTCCCGGCTGCTGGGCATCTGCCTGACCTCCACGGTGCAGCTGGTGACGCAGCTGATGCCCTACGGCTGCCTGCTGGACTACGTGAGGGAGAACAAGGACCACATCGGCTCCCAGGACCTGCTCAACTGGTGTGTGCAGATCGCCAAGGTAGGACAGGGCACCTGGGCAGCTCTGGGGAGGTCCTTGGGGACACCAGGGACAGCTGGACATGTGCCACCTCCAGGGGATGAGCTACCTGGAGGAGGTGAGGCTGGTGCACCGGGACTTGGCCGCTCGCAACGTCCTGGTCAAGAGCCCCAACCACGTCAAGATCACCGACTTTGGGCTGGCCCGGCTGCTGGACATCGACGAGACCGAGTACCACGCTGATGGTGGCAAGGTAGGGCATGGGACTCAGGGACAGTGGTGCTCCCCTCGGTGACAGCCATCCCCTGGTCCTGCTCACCTCTCTGTCCCAGGTGCCCATCAAGTGGATGGCGCTGGAGTCCATCCTCCGCCGGCGCTTCACGCACCAGAGCGACGTCTGGAGTTACGGTGCGTCAGGGTGTCCCCACCCTGGGGAACTTGGGGGGTCCCAATGCACTGCTCACCCCCACAGCTGTCCCCTGTCCCCTCCAGGTGTCACCGTGTGGGAGCTGATGACGTTTGGGGCAAAGCCCTACGATGGGATCCCTGCCAGGGAGATCCCAGACCTGCTGGAGAAGGGCGAGCGGCTGCCGCAGCCGCCCATCTGCACCATCGACGTCTACATGATCATGGTGAAATGTACGGGGAGGGGACACGGGGACAGGGAGGGGACAGGGCGTGCTGTCACCCTGCTCCCAGCCCCTGATGGCACCTGCCTCTGTTCAGGCTGGATGATTGACTCCGAGTGCCGGCCCAAGTTCCGGGAGTTGGTCACCGAGTTCTCCCGCATGGCCCGCGACCCCCAGCGCTTCGTGGTCATCCAGGTATGGACATCCCCGAGCTCCTGTCCCCTCATTTGTGCCTTGGGGTGAGCACTGAGCACTGTGACCCCCCCAGAACGACCTGGTGGGGGTGCCTGGCTCCATGGACAGCACCTTCTACCGGGCACTGCTGGATGAGGAGGACATGGACGACCTGGTGGACGCTGAGGAGTACCTGGTGCCCCACCATGGCTTCTTCAGCACCGACACCTCCACCACCTACCGCAGCCGCATCTCCTCCATGCGGGTACGTGGGGAGGGAGGGCTGGCAGGGGGCTCCAGGTGAGGAGGTGACCCCGTGCCACGTCTGGGACGGGCTCAAGTGCCTGACTCTGTGTCCCCTCCCACACCCAGAGCACGGCGGAGTCTCCAGCCAAGGTGGAAGAGGGCGAGGGCTTGGCCTCCTTCTCCTTCCCCGCCCAAGGCCTGGCAGAGGGGCCAGAGGGACCTGTCCCAGAGGTGCCAGATGGGGACAAGGTGGCCCTGCAGAGCCCCCCGGGGCGGGAGCCCGGGACCCTGCCCCGGTACAGCGAGGATCCCACCGGGCTGACGGCCAAGGATGGAGAAGACCCCGAGTGCTTCACTGTGCCAGCCCCCCTCAGCACCATGCCAGGTAAGGAGGGCTTGGCTGGACCCTTGGGGAGCTGCTGGGGGGCGTCTGCCTGTCCCATTACCCCTGGGGGGTCCCTAACATGTCCCTCCACCCTGCAGAGTACGTGAACCAGGCTGGGGAGCGCCCGCCCCGCGCGGCCCCGTCCCCGCCGGACAAACCCAAGGGGCACCAGGGCAAGAACGGGCTCATCAAGGACCCCAAGAACTCCTTCCCAGCGCCCTTCGGCCACGCTGTGGAGAACCCCGAGTACCTGGCACCGCCCCACGGCACCCCCAGCCCCGGCCCCTTCAGCCAGGCCTTCGACAACCCCTACTACTGGAACCAGGACCCTGCCAAGGGTGGTGGCCCCGAAGGCGGCCCTGGCACGACGCCCACGGCCGAGAACCCCGAGTACCTCGGCCTGGCCGGCCCCGACGCCACGGCCGTGTAGGAAAGACCCCCCAAACTTCACCAAGGCAGCTCAGGGAGGGATGAGCCACAGCTGTGGGGCTGGGGGTGCACCCCTGTGCCCAGGGGTGGCACCGCTGGCGGAGCCAGGACGCTGTGGGACAGCACGGTGGGGACACAAGCGTCACTCTGGGTGCCCCCAGGAGCAGCTCAGAGCCAGCAGGGCCTGCAGAAGGACAGCCCCCGTGCCATCCCCCCCATGCAGGGCTGTCCCAGTGCCTGGGACATGAGGACTTGCACTGAGGGCAGCTGGACTGAGAGCAGTCCCGGCTGCTCCGGGATTCCCTGGGAGCACCGGGATGTATATTTGACAATTGTACATTGGTTGTTTTTTCTACTCCCGTGGTCTGATTTCTCCTTCTCTGTCAAATCCAGCTCTGTCTCCCAAGGATCAGCATCTTATATCCCTTCCCTTTTTCCTTCGTTTTTCCCATTTTCCTTCTCTTTTTTTCCCCCTTTCCCCTCCCTTTCCCCCTTTTTCCCTCCCTCCTTTTTTTCCTCTTTTTCTTTCCTTCTCCCCTTCTTTTTTCCTCTTCCCTTCCTCCCCCATTTCCTTTCCCCTTTTCCCTCTTTTTCCATTCCTTTTCCTGTCCCTTTTCCCTTTCTCTATTTCTTCTCCATTTCCTTTCCCTTTTTCCCTCTTTTTCCATTCCTTTTCCTGTCCCTTTTCCCTTTCTCTATTTCCTTTCCCCTTTCTCCATTTCCTTTCCCCTTTTTTCCATTCCTTTTTTTGTCCCCTTTTCCCTTTCTCCATTTGCTTTTCCCCTTCTGTCTTCCCTTTCCTGCTTCTTTCTTCTTCCCCTTTCCCTTCCTTTTCCTTCCCCCACTCCTCCTTTATTTCCCTTCCCTTCCTCCCCCCTCTGCCACCCCCCACCACTTCAATTCCTGATTTTGGAACCCCCCCAATCCCAAGGGACACCAGAGCAGCCACATTCTCCATCCTTTATTCCCCCAGGCCTTTGGGTTTATACACAGTATAGAATAAATAGGGGACCCCCTCACCCCAAGGCCCAGGGCAGGGACATTCCAGGCAGGAAGCAGAGCTGGGAATGGCCAGGGGGGGTGTGAACACACCTGGGCCTGTGGGGCCAGCCTGGCTTTCCCATGGCCTGCATTAAACAGTGCCAGAGGGATTTTAATCATTAACACATCCCAGGGAAAGCTACAGCCTGTGCATTCCCCTGGGAGCTGCTCCAACTCCCATTCATGGGAGACCCCCCCAGATCCCCCAGCACAGAGAAATGGGGGTGCAAAGCCTGTACCCTGAGGGGGGGGAGGCAAAGGCAGGTGGGAGAACCCCCAAATCCACAGCTACACCCCACAGCAGGTCAGGCAGGGGACACAACGCCCCCCAGTGCCACCAGGAGGCTCCTGAGCCCCCCAGGGCTGCAGGGTTTAGGGAAGGCAGCGTGGGGGGACCCTGCTGTCCCCGGGGGGGTCACAGGATGACGCAGGGGGGGCGGCTGTTGGTGATTTTCTCCAGGGGCTCCCCATTGCGGGCTCTGCGGATGGCCTCGATCAGCTGGGGAGAGACACGGAGGTGACAGGGACAAACCCAGGCCACCATGAGGAACTGCCCCTCTGTCCCCTCTCACCCCACCCCAGCAGGAGCTGCAGAAGGTCCTGGCAGGGTGGTAGGAAGGAGAACAGCTCCATAAAACAATGATCCCATTAAAGGAGGGGGCTCCCTGCAAAGCAAACACCCCCCTGTGGGTACTCACATCCTTCTCGTAGGGAAAACCTCCATTCTCCAGCTTGGAGAACACCAGCTGCCCGTTGATCTCGATCTCAAAGGCACCTGAGGGGAGGCCCAGCCATCAGTTCTGTCCCTCAAACCCCCCCATGGGCATCATCCTGCCCATACCAACCCCATGGCATCATCCCCCTCATACTGACCCTACAGAGTGACAACACCCAGACCACCCCCACCCCGGAATTCCAACCCCTCCCTGGACTTCCAACCCTCCCAAACCCCAGCAGGGCACTGGGGGGGGGCTCTGGGTGTCAGTTTGGGGTCTCACCAGTGCCCCCCAGGCGGGACTCGATCTCGATGTCGGGGTACTCCTCCCGCACGGCGCTCGCCAGCTCCTGGTAGGTGGCCTCAAAGCCACAGGGCTCACTGGGGAACAGGGAGGGGACAGCCTGAGGAGGGGGTGCAGGGACCCCCCAAACTCTCCCTGAACTGAGGAGCCACCCCACAAGAGCTCTGCTGCATCCTGCACCCCAATTCCTAATGCCCACCTTAGGGGCCATCCCACAGCCTCGTACCCCATAACCCTCAATACCTTCTCAGCCCCACAAATCCTCTATAACCTTTTCCTGAGCCCCCAAATTCCCCTATAACCCAATTTCCTACCCTCAGAGCCCCCCAAATCCTCTGTAACCCTTTCCTCAACCCCTAAATTCGCCTATAACTCAATGCCCCACGCTGCAGAGCCCCCAAATCCTCTATAACCCCTCCTCAGCCTCTGAATTCCCCTATAACTCCCCAAATCTTCTATAACCCCTTCCTCAGCCCCCCAATTCCCCTATAACACCCCAAATCCTCTATTACCCTCCCTCAGCCCCCGAATTCCCCTAAAATCCAATTCCCCACCCCAGAGAGCCCCCCAAATCCTCTGTAAC